CCCCAAAACCCCAAAACCCCAAAACCCCTAATGGATTACTATAAGTTGAGCAAAGGGAATAAGAGGTCACTCAAGCTGATCACTAATATCAATAAGCAGATCTCTTTAGATGCTAAACCTAAGAAATCTATTTTAAAAAAGTCAGGAAAGAAAAGCAGGAATCATAAGAAGAGAGTGTGGTTTGAGTCTCAAAAGGCCAAGTTCGAGGATGAAAATACCAAAGATGAGCTTGATAAGAAGCAAGAAGAATCCAAAGAAGTTTCCTCTATTACACCACCTACAAGGATTTGGGTATGAAAGAAACATCTGCACACCTTAAAAAGATTTAAGATCGATCTATATTCCCTATGCATATGCATCATTCATGGTTCTATTTATGATACATTGGGTTTAGCAACTTCAATCCCTTTTGTAACCTGAAAATATAACAATTTGAAGTACTTTATGAAGAAGCTGGATGTTGAGATACCCAATGTAAAGGAAGGCTGCTGAATATTATCATATCCAAAAAAGGACAAAGACTCAGTTTATAAGTACTTTTATGCAAACCTTATATGAACTCCTGAATACATTAGTATCACCGATATCAAGTTTGGATCTCTTGCATTTACCCAAGCTGCACTATTTATTACCATTACTTCTCTAATAGCTTCTTTCTTAGGAATCCCATGATTTTATCAAGACAAGATAGATTTCCAGATGAGCAAGTTCCGAAAGGTTAAGGAAATGGATCAATTCAATGATAAAGGACCGTATAAAGGAAAAGATCATGGGTTCATTCACAAATTTGATTCTCCGTTTGAAACTCTTTCAAAAAGCAACAAAGACAAAATAGTAGAGTTTTTTGCAGCAAGAACAGGTCTCGGAAAATGTGGTTTGAATCCAACAAAATACATCGAAAAGGCCATAAATTACCTCCTTTCCAAACCTGAGGACCAAAGTATCGACTTTGTAGCTACATTCGCGGAATATGCCACAAAAGCCCGCGTCTGCAAGACCTTCAAACACTTAATTCCTCATAAATCCCACAAATTCATCTTTTTCAATAAATTCCTACTAAATTGGGGTTTTGGGGTTTTGGGGTTTTGGGG